AAATCATTGATTTCTTCGCTGCTGAATTGTGGACCGTTATCAGAAACGATTATCTTAGGAAATCCTATTTTGATCGTGCTTTCTGTTGTAATAATAGTCATGGTAACATTTCTGGCCAGCTACTGCTAGCATCTATCACTACCAACCAATAATGATTTTGAAATGGTCCAGCATAATCAATATATACTCGGTGTCATGCTTTTGGTGGTTTAGGCCAATTTTGAATTAATGTCTTTTGAGGCATATCGTGTTGTACCTGGCATTCTCTACATTTTTCGACCCATGTTTCTATATCTTGGTTTATATTAGGCCACCACGCGTATTGTCCTGCTCTCATCTTCATTTTTATCATTCCAATATGTCCTTGATGTATCATGTCTTACACGTTGTTTCGGTATTGTTGGGGTATCATTTTAGTTCTCCACAATAAACAACCTCTCTCTGTTGTAATTTCCTCTCTCCTTTGGTTATACTCCTTTAAACATGCATCATAGTTTATTGGTCACCCGTCTATTGTATATCTGTATACTTTGGAAAGTATATCATCTCGCATTGTTTCTCTTTCAATTTCACTTGCATTTAAAGCTGTTTCTTCCAGCTGTATTTGATCTGCGTTTCTTCTTTTGATATTGGAGTTCCCATTATAGGTAATCTAGATAGCATGTCAGCATTTGCTATTTGTCTACTACTTTTGACTTCTATTTCATATTGGTAACCTGCTAATAATAAAGCCCATCTTTGTATTCTGGCAGTAGATGTTGTTGGTATATCTTTTCTTAGATGAAATAAACTCATTAATGGCTTGTGGTCTATTTGTAATTCATATATAAATTCTTTGAATTTTGTAACTCCAAATATAATGGCGAGAGCTTCTCTTTCTATTTGGCTATAATTTTTCTTAGCTGCATTTAGTGTTCTTGAGGCAAATGCAATTGGTATCCTTACCCCCCCCCCCTGCTATATGTCATATTACTGCCCCAATTCCTATGGCTGACGCATCTGTTGCTAATATAATGGGTAATTTTGGATCATAATGTTGTAATATTGGAGTACTAATTATTTCTTGCTTTATTTTTTTATACGCGTCTTTGCATTCATTACATCTCCAAGCAACTGCTTTTTCTAATGATTTGTATAATGGTTTGGCTTTGGTTGCAAAATTTGAAATAAATTTTGATAATATGTTACTGACCCTAGAAATGACTGTAATTGTTTCAAGTTTGTTGGTTCTGGTGCTTTTTTTACTGTCGCAATATTTTTTTCGGTATTGTAATCCTTTTGAAAATTTTCTATTTTTAGCTTAATTCCATTTTCATCTGGACATTTTAGTAGCATTTTTAAATTTGTTTCGTGCTTCTCTCTATTTTTCCCGGTTATTATAATATCATCAAAATAATAAGCTGCTCCTTCAAAACCTTTTAATAAATTCTCGATAGCTCGTTGAAATATAGCTGGAGAAAACGATATACCAAAAGGTAGTCTTGTATATTTAAATAATCCTCTATGCGTATTGATTACAAGATATTTTTGAGACCCACACACAGCGTCTACATGACAGGATTTTCACTGGATGCAAACCCCCTTCAAAAACCTTTGCCTACCCCCCTAAAAAAAAACGCCGCCTTCGGCGACGGTGTCTCTTTCTCATTATTTTCACCTATTTATTTATTGATACTCTTTTCAAAGAATTTATAAAGGATAACGTAAATTAATCTATTTCTACTAACAACTATCTATTTTTTGTGAATATAAAGAATTTATTTTTTAGATAATAAATTCAATTAAAACCTCCATTATTTACAATGAATTAATTATTATGGCATTATGAGCTTGCTAAAATATCTAAACCTTTTAAATTACATTTAAAAGGATAGTTTATTTGGAAAACAATGTGTATGATTGTTTGCAATATATAGATTTGGTCGATGAATTGTATTATAATAATACTATAATAAAAGTATAATTTTTACAGCAATAAATTTTGTCCTATTTCATCTCAAAATTTAATAGATAACCACCCAAAAAATTTATCCTACCCCCATTAAAGCAGCTTACCCCCTACCCCCTCAAAAAAATAGGATGCAAACTGTTTCTACCCCCCCCCCCCGCTCATGTAGACGCTGCCCACACATTAATTTGAAATAGGCATCTGAGTCCAATATTGAAAATACCTATCCTTTTCCCAAACTGGTTAATAAATCTTGGATTCTTGGTATTGGGTATGAATCAATATTCATATTTTGATTTATAGTTCTTATAAAATCCCCGCAAATTAGTAATGTTTTATCTTTCTTTTGAACACTTACTATGGGTGATGCATAAAGTGAATGATTAATTTTTTCTATTACTCATATTTTTAGCAATCTGTTTAAATCTTTTTCAACTTTATCTTTTAATGTGTATGCATACGGGACTTGATTTAGAGAAAATTGGTTTCTCGTTTTTCATATATATTTGTCTTAAAATCTTACAAGCCGCCCAATTCTTTGGTAAATAAATGAGGAAATTCATTTTGTATATTAATGTTATTCAGGTATTTCAGTCATTTTGGGGAATTTAGTTATCCAGTTTCTTCATATGAGATTTTTGGTATATCCTTTTGTAATTATGAGAGGTAGTTCTAATGTTTGTCCTTTATATTGTACTTTTACTACAGTCTGACCTTATGTGGTATATGTTCCTGTATAGCTTTTAAGTTTAAGCATGTAATTTGTTGATTTAAGTTTATTTTCCCAATCTATTTCATTAATTATGCTTAATCTAATATTCTGATATCGCTGTTGTTTATTTTAACATCCACCCAAAATTCTGGAGTGTACTCGTTTGTTTTATTATTAATACAATTCCCTATTTCTTTTCTACAGACTCGAGCAATGTGCCCAATTTTGTTACATTTATAACAAGTGGCATTCTTGGAAAAACAATTTTCCCTTCTAGGGTTTTCCGCCGCAGGAGTGGCAAGGATTTGGTTTTTTGTAGCTCGTATTATAATTATTTTATGATATGGTGTTTATCATTATTATTTTATTTATATTATCATTATGTTCCTCTTCTAAACTGATCGATTTTAGTTTCATTATTTTGTATTAATTTTGAATTTTTTATAGCTGTTACTATTACAGTAGCTATATGAATAACTTTATTTATGTCTATATCATCTTCAGATAATAATCTTTGTAAAATTTTAGGATTTTTTATTCCGAATATAAATTTATCTCTTAATGCAGTATTTAAATATTCCCCAAATTCAGAAGTCGTTGCTAATTTTTGAAGATTTTGTATAAAGCCTATTAATTTTTCCTCATTTTTTTTGATTGTATTGATAAAAATTATATCTCTCTACTATTATATTAGGTTTAGGATGAAGATGTTTGATTAAAATGTTATGTATTTTTAATACCTCTTTATTTTCTGGACTATCTGGTGCCCATAAATTTACCAATATTTTATAAGTGTCACATCCTATTTTTGTTAATAACAGCGATTTTTCTTGTGATGATGTTACTTGGTTGTGTGTTTTTAAATTCTTTAAATAAGTCGTACCAATCTTTGTAACACAAGTTTGAATCCTTTAAACTTTTTATCGAATTTTTTATTTTCCAAAATCTCATTTTTTTCGTTATTCAAATTCATAATGATAATATAAATAATGAAAATAAACATTTTACAAAAAATACAAACCAAAAATTCAATACTTATCATTACTTATGTCTTTTAGACTATGCAAATGAGAGGAAAACGCTTGATATTTGTAGATTTTTCATACTTTGAGAGTTTAAGAGTAGGAGTTGTTCACTTTTTATTTTTCGCTCACAATTTTCCTAATTATTAACTTTTTCTTATATTATTTTACATTCTTTTTTAATTTTTTTACTTTTATTTTATAAGTATTTATAGTTAATGGTTATGAATAAAACTTTAAAATGTTTTATTAATTTTGTTTTTAATAATGCTAATTTGTTTCTTCCTTTATTTTAGATTCTCTCTGCTACTACTACTACTACAAATATATCACCCAGAAAAACGATAAATTTTTTAAATTATATCAAAAGGCTAAAAAAAAAATATCAATTGATTGACATTTTCATAATAAAATATATATTTTAATTTACATTATTTTATTTTGCAAGTTCGTAAAAGGCGATAATTATGTATCCAAATTTTGACTATGATTAATTGCTTTCTACCAATGCAGTATTTAGTCTGGTTTTGTTTAAACGGCTCAAATTCGAGCCGATTTTTTAAAAACGGCTAACTCAATCTTTTATCCAAAAGAAAGTAACGTAAGACTGAAGATATTGCTCGTAGAATGGCACAAAGACTATTAGCGAAATCTAAAGGCTTTGGCAATGAATTACCCGTTTTTAAAATTGGGCTCAAATCAAGCTATTTAAACAACAATATTTTAGTCATACCACTTGTTAGTGGAGTTAAACGGGCCATTTTAAGCCGATTTTTTAAAAACGGCTAACTCAATATTTTAGCCTGAAAAATATAGCATAAGCCTTGAGAATTCGCCTATTAGATATTCAAACCTTCGTTCCTTCTACAAACAAAATCTTCAGGCTTGCGTTAAATCATTCTGGATGAAATAGCGAGTTAGCCGAGCCGTTTAACAACACTACCCCTTGTTTGCTAATCGTTATCACTTTTTTAAGTCTTGTATTTATAGTTCAATATGATTATTTAAAAAAATTAATAAAACTTGATACATGCAACTTGTTAGATCAATTAAAAGAGAAATTTGGATATATTTTTAGGAACGTCCCGAGATCGTTTCGAGAAGATTTCGGAATACAGGTTCCGGTTCGGTTCCCTAAATTTACTCGAAGTTCTGTTCCCAGAACGTTCCATTCCATATCTCTCCTTATAATCCGTATTAAAAATTAACATAGTAACAGCTGATATCAGATGGAAATTTCATACAACCTTTTATTTATTTTTTTTAATAAATATTTATATATATTTATCGATTCATAATTATATACAAGGAATAAAGATTATAACTACAAACAATTTGTTTACACCATATCTTTATTTACAAATCACGTATAAAAATATAACCGACCGATATTTTGATATAATAAAAATTACGAAAGAACTTTAATGCTTCCTATGTTTTTTCCTCTTTGTTCTTGAACGCCTTTCGTCGCTACTGATGCCAGATCTATTTCGATATTTTGACGGAAACTTTTCGGTAGTCAAATTTCTCGACTTTTTACGCTTATGTTTACGAGTATGACTGTGACTTGGCTCCCTTTCGTTTTCGCTCGATGATGAGCTATGTTGTGTCTTTTTATATTTGGAGTTCCTAGAAGTGAGATATATATAAAAAATAAAATGAAATCAACTGAAACATTTTCAAAAATCAATCATATGTATTATAGTATATTATATTATGATTTTATTCAAACTACACTCTAACTAACATAACCATTAGTTAAAATTAGAATTTGATATTAAAAATTCATTTTTAATTAATGACATTTAAGTGTCATATTTGTGATAGGTTTCCAATTAAAAAAACAAGATTCGTGATTATGACTTTCCCTTTTTCCTCAAAATGCGCGGAATAATCCTTCAGGGATTCAACCCGAACCTAAACCGTCAAACCGGTACTAACCGCTATTATTTATCGATCCCAAACCGAACCTGAAAAGTAAAAAAATTTGTCGCCCAAACATGAACCGAACCTCTAAAATGCCCGTGAACAGGGGTTAAAGCCCCTCGATATTTTAACCCCTTTAACCCTTTAGGTTCCCTCATAAAATTAATATGTTGCAACACGATATTTAGTAATTTTTTTATTGATTCTAGTATAATATAATATAAAACACACAAAAAAAGTTTTTTAAATTCAAAATGGCGGCTCTCCCTGGTGGTTTCAAATTCATATCATTGACACCTTATGGAAACTTTCGAAACAGTCTCTATTTTTATTTAGACATAGTGGTACGTTGCATGATTTGCACGACCACCTTGTTCTTCTGGGATTTAACTTTGTACTACAGAAGGTACACCTTAGTGAGGTTCCTGCCTGAGGTTGATGAGCTGAGTTTTTTAGTCTAATTTCTGGAAGGATATAAGCTTTATTATTTTTTCTTTGCATTGATATATAATTATTATCATTATGAATATTATAATCCCTATTAACATTTTTACAGTATGCCAATTCGCTAGCAATTATTTGTCTTCGGAATTCTTTCGATGAGAGTTTATTATCTGTAAGAATATTGTATATTATGAATGAATTGATAATCGCCGCATCTATCAGCCAAAAAAATATTGGTAGTCACCATTTTCGCCACTTTCGCGAAATTTCATATAAAGACTTGAAATGGTCAACAGACCCCATATATTTATTATACATCTTTATCATTATTGGACATTTTACGTCAAATACTTCCCCTTTTTTAATTTTTTCTATTCACAGTATCCACTGATCTCGGATCAATATAATTGGGCATTATAAATACGTCACGATTATCTCGCCATTTAATTATACTTATATTATTTTTGTCACTTCTCCAGTCAAACTCACTTCTTTTTAATTTTGTTTCCATATTCTTTATGGGCAAGTATCTCCTATTTTTGTTTAGTGTTCCGGTAGCATATATACCTTTCTTTTTTAAATCGATCAATTTCAATTTGATAAGGTGTATCCGATTCATAATCATCACTATCAATTTGGTAACGTGTATCCGATTCATAATCATCTTCGGAATCAGTGGATGAGTTGTCTAACGAAGAACCTTCAGATGGAATGTCCAGATAATCATCCATATATATAACAAGCTAAAATTATTGCGAAATGAGTTGGCAAAATTTATCAATTATTTAAAAAAATAAATATTAAAAATATTGTTGTTAAGTGGCAGTGGTTAGTTTAATATACCACATTAAAGAGATCAAAATAATATATAAATATTATTTATTTGAGCAAAAATAAATATTAGAAAGATAGATAAAATAGTGAGGAATATATACATTTAAAAATATTTGATAAATATACTTACTTATAATTAAAATTGGAATTTTAAGAAAAATCACCGTAAAAAACGTATTTTGAAATAAAGGCGCGAAAAAAAAAATTAAAAAATAACTCCTCCACAAACATATGAAAAAGAATATCTTTTAATATATATTCGTGGTGGTTTCATTTTATATGATTAACTCCTTTAGAAGATATAAAGGTTAAAAGGTGGTTTTATATTTGCACTACCGCGACCGAAAGGGTTAAAGATTATTAATAATCAATTTTGACTAAAGGGGAGTATCAGTAATTATTGTTTTAGATACAATTTTCCATATCATTTGATGCTGTTAGCTTCTTAGGTTAACCTAAAGAAATGCTCTCAGCCCTTAAATTTGTTCGTCCTTCTTATAAATATGATTTGACAAAAATTAATTCTTATACGGCTCAACATTACTTTTTTAGAGAAAAGTGATGAAAATCCTTATTCCCCCCCAAATAATTCTAATGCGCTTAAACGAGAAAAGGTCGGAACCGGTCCAAACCGAAGATGAACCTCCCACGAAGGCCTCTGATGAAATATTAAGTTAATTTCGAATAACTCTACTCGTAAAGTAATGAAAAGTAATTTATTTCATTATGTGTGAAAAAGAACAATGTAACATTCGATTCGTATTTGAATAGGCCTACAACCCACCGGCTAGTGAGTTGGGTCAAGTAATTAGAATCAATTTTATGTTTTCTTTTCTACCTACAGGTTCGAGGTAGAAAAATTGTGTCTCTTGTTGTTCACTAACTCTGCAAAATATATTTAAAAAAAAGATTGTCTTGCTATCTATTTATTTCAAAAGCTAATGGATTAAAACATCAATCATTATTTATTCCAAAAAAGAGATATGTTACATTAAACTCTAAAAAGTGTAATTCATTTTTTTTAAATGAAATTTCGTAGAGTCAGCTTTTAGAAAAAGCATAGAAAATGCATAACTCCAGAGTAAAAGATCCTTAATAATTTATTTTTTGTCATCCATATGGACTTATATTGGATGCTCATAGTATTAAATTAGAGGCTAAATTCAAGTTATAACTAGCTTTAATTTGGGTAATCTTTAACTTAAAATATTGGTGCCAAATTGTATAGAATCGGTTTTGTAGTAATATCGGAAAATATTGGGTAGGTAAAAAATTTGTGTATATCAATACAAGCCTATTTATTAGTGAACAAAATCTCAAAAAATATTTTCTTCATATTTAAGGAAACAGTTTGGGTAAAGAACAAGATATTTTATAACATCTTTTGTCTGAAAAAACACTTTCTAGATCTATGCCAATCCACTTCAGTATTTCCAATGTAGCAAAAAATTTAAAAATAATATTTGGCCCAATTTCTCTTAAATAAACATTTTTTAATGTTTTTGCCTCTCTTTCAGCTTATATTAATCACTCCATTTACCCACTTTAACTTTAAAATTTTTATTAATTATAAAAACATATAATATATGTACTCCAATTTAAATTCAATGCCATCACACATAATATTTAAAATTAGCTACTATGAGGATAAAATCTTAACAAAATATCATACAAATCTTTCTTATCTTAAAATGTAAGAAATATTACTGCTTTTGGTGGGAAAAGTCATATTTATTTTAAAATATCTTAAGCCTGTTGAACTTTGAAATATTTATATAATAGCTTTTATTAATGTTTATAAATATATTTTTATTATTTTAACTAATATAATAATGATAAAATAAATTATTATCAATTAAAATTTTATTTAAACCTTTTATCTTTTTTTAATTTCTTCTTTAATCTCTTTTTCATTGAATGTTTAAGTCTTTTTAATATATCATCATTATCAATAATTGGATTACTTAATGGAAAAGCTGTTGCTTTAATCATTTTTTTCATTTCTTCAATTTTAATTTCATCTTTATTAGATAAATATTTCTAATAAATTTAATATAATAAAATCACCATCTCTCAATTTCACCAAAGGCGATATAAAATTAGAGACACCATCATCTGAAGATGTGCTACTAACATCAAGGATCATTTCTCTTTTAGGATCAAGTATTATATAATTTCTACATTGAAAAGGAAGATGCCCAACTATATCATATAAAGAAATAATATAATACATAAAATAGGGTACCAAATCCACATTTTTTGCAAGCAGCTCTAATATTTATGTCATTAGGATTTGTTTTCCCAGCAATTTCTAGTTTTATTATAATTAATCAAATTATATAAGCAAACCTTTTAAATTGAATGAATTTTGCATAATTTCTTTATGTGCATACTAATTATAAAATATTAAAAGATAGATTGATATTTATCAATCATTTAAAATCAGCTGTTAACTCAAATATAAAATCATCACTGTCAGTATTGGTGGCTAACAATATTGTTATCAGTATCTATTATTAAATATATTGTTACATATTAGTTATGTCATAAAAAAGATTACTTGAAATTAATTGGTAAGACATTTGTTTAAAATAGCTGCAAAAAAAACACTGCTGCTGATGAAGATAACAAGGTGAAATGCAAAATATATTCTTAATTGCCTTTTTCATTCATTCGATAAATTCAATCTTCAATTTTTATCTAATGTTTTAGATTATTAATTCTCAAATGCTAACAATATCATAAACATAAAAATTATTTATAAACCATCAGATTGATATAAAGATTCGGAAATTAGTAAAGACTAACAAATATCTTATTTTCAAATAAGGATAGAGATCTAAAAAGGCAAGATTTTCATTGTGATTAAATTTGTAAAATTAGAATATTAATGCCTAAAAAATTTGAATTTGGATGAATGTTTGATTAAACTATCTCAAATTATAGCTTTTAAAAACATAATTGATAAATATGTGTCCCTGTCATCTAATAAATATCACTTTTCTTAACTCGGCCTTTCATTATTCTGCTGATACTTACCAAAACCATAAGACCCACAAGAATTCTGAAATAGATAATGAGATACACAAGAAAAAATTGAAATGTATCAGGAGATACATAAAATAGATGTTAAAATGAATACCAAGACTGAGATGATCATTAGAAGAGTTGTGGTTATACTCGATAAAATAGGTCTCATCGATAATAGATTTATCTTTTCAAATTTCATAAATATGATAGAGTTTATCAACACATGTGAAAAGGTGGAGGGTACTGTCATATCTATTTATAATAGGGCAGTTATGAACACTCATGCAGATATTTATGTTATTCTCATTAAGGTATATTATATAAATAACAAATTTGTTTTCATATGTTTTATAAATAAATTTGCATAATATGATTATATGCATATAATTTAAAAAAATATATTAATTTACTACAAATTAAATTTTATAAAATCTTGTCAGATGAGGGGTCATTTGCGATTTCATTATGATAATCCATTGTATTCTACCTATATTTTAAATCAATATTGTATAAAGGAGGGCTATTAAGTTGATTTCTTCTCTATAAATTTTACAAAATATTATTAAGTCCACTATTAACAGGCCTGGCTGTGTTTAAATTTAGTTTTTCTCACTTCTTTTTTAATATAAAATTACATTTTTTCTAAAAAAAATTTGAATTATTTAAGGAAATTATTCACTTAGGCTTTTCTCTTCAATTTAGTTATATATTTTAAACATTCTTTTAGGGGGAGGGGTATGGTGGAAGGTGAACAGTAAAAAAAGTGAATAAATTTATTATAACTTTGTAATAAATTTTGTCAGTTTATTTTATATATAGTTTACAAATCAATATAAATATATCAATTAAGCATACACAATTAAAAAAATATATTTGATTAACAATTAATCCTATGAACCAATTGTCTTTAATTTTAAGGTTAATTGACTTTTTTACAGAAGGTACATAGAGAATTTTTTTTATTGACTTAAAATATTTACAATAAGCACTTTGGGGGGGGGAATGTCACTATTCCTGCACCTTTGATATATCTATAACCACAATTGGCATATCAAAGATATTTGATTTATTTTAACCATGAATTTTATTGAATATTTTTAGGTTACCTCTTTCATTTTTAAATTTTATAGTTCTTTACTTTTTATTAAAAAAAATAAAAAGAAATATTTCTTAAAATAATGAGTTATAGCTCGTCCTGTGCACTGACAAAACTATCGGTGCTCAGCATGATTTCCAAAAATCTTACAGCCAATGTTGCGCCGATTTTTAGCCGGCGTCAACAAAAGCAACATAAATTTCCGTAGTTATAAATTTTTATAACATTTTTTTTTTAAAATTCCTTACTAAATTTTTAAAAAAAAAATAATAAAATAATAAAAAACCTAAACTACAGATATCTCGGCATATTTTGTAATTTTCATTTGAAAATTCATTATAAATCCAAAAATCTATTTCGTGATTTTATAATTTATGATGTATAAAAATTATTTTATTTTAAATTTTTGGGACATAATGATGATCCCCTTGAATTTAATGTCAATCCAATGGTAGAAAAAAATAACTCTTTCACTGGGTGTGTAATATAGTTTCTTTTTCTATATTGATCTGTCCACATATTGAATTTAATTGAGCAAATTTTGACCCTGAGTTAATTTGTTCTTATATATGCACTTTCATTGACAAGTAAACATCATTAAGAGCAGTACGGCTTAGTGTTTGTCCTGTTTGTGGTAAATCAGAACTAGAATTGCTTGATATTTCTAAAATAAGTATTTTGAAAAATTGATAACAAAAAAAATCATAATAATCTTTAATTTATATTTAGACATCAAATCAGGGACAATTTATCAAATAAGAAATGAATTTGTTAAAAAATTATTCTTGGTTGTATGTAAAGATACCCATAAACAGAGATGATTAGATGAATATGCAATTATACAATATTATTTAAATCATTCATGTCTATGTGTAATCATATTGTTGCCACGGCTATAAAATTCAACTATTTTAAACTTCTAGCTAATGCTATTTCAATAGAACAAAAAAGACATAGGGGACCAATTTTTATATAAATTTAATACCTTAAAAAAAATTTTCATTCCTATATTATCAATTGATTGAAAAGGTGATAATAACACAAGTAATAACACATAGTTTCTTGCTAGAAGCCATTTTTTAATGAAGTTTTAGAATTTGTCTAGAATTTTGGTTTGGATATAAAATATTTTTTGCGATTTTGATGAAGTATCTTCTTTAATATTAATGACCAGAAGTCAAGTGTTTTAACAAATTCCCTTGTGCCAATGTTGATTGAAAAGTTTTGAATTTTTATAGCTAGAATATTATTTTACATAATTTAATTTTATAAATTTATTAAAGATTTTGGCTTAATTATGAGAAAATAATATTTTTTTGAAAAAAAGATATATATACTGCGAAAATGGCTTATTTGAATCATCATTGTATCGTCTATAACAAATAACCTTTATCTAAGCAACAATCACAGTAAAAATTTGTCAGAATTTATGGAAATTGTTTTATTATCTCTTTTCAAGCTTAGAAAACCAAAAATTATTTTATACACAAATGATTTTTTAATTTTATTGTTTACCATTATAGTACAAAAATTATTTATAGATTTATTAAGTGTAGATTGCATATCCATTTAAAAAAATATATATGTAAAATTATGGTAAATTTTGGAATTTCACATTTTTGATTGATTGAATTCTAAAATGATGTCAATATAATAAATTATGATTTTAAAATATGTAGATTTAATAAGAATTCATTAAAATCTTGATTGACATTTTAAAAAAAAATTACGACAGTGATGTTGAGGAATTATTAGAAGAAAAAAAAATAGGCATAAAATATGAAAAAAACTTCTCGTCGACGTGATTTTCATAAACGTCGGCGTTTTCGACGTATCCAATAAAATAAGCGGCCGGTCAACAGCCGACCGTTGCACAGGTCTAGTTATAGCTCCTATTGAATCTAAATACTTTTATTTATTGTTAAATCAATTATTGATATAATAATATTTATTTATCTATCCGAAATAAAAAGGAAAATAATTAATTTTTTTTTAAAAAATTAAAATGCCATTTTATCCTTATCGCATCAGAAATTTTACAATATCGGCCCGATCTGATCCGATAAAAATAAAAATATCGAGGAATCCTTGATCTATCATTATATATATTTGATTGATGATATTTGATTTGACACTTCTTTTTGTTAAATTTATATTCAAATATTTTTTTCCCAGTTATTCCTTGAAAAAATATTTAGTTATGAGGAGGAACATGGAATTGAACATTCCAGGAAATAAAACTTTGGAAAAATTATAAAAATTATATTGGAAGGGGAGCTGTGTGTGATTCTGGGAACATTCCAATATCAGGCTGGTTACAAAGCCTTCCAAAAAAAAAATGAAAATTTTAAATTTAATTTTATTGCACATTTTAATAAATAAAATATTTATAATGACTCAATCATTATTATTCGGTTTTTGTAACTTTCCAATTTACTTCGCATAACAATATTATTACTCACTTTAATAAAGAATTATTATACTTAATAATTGATTAAGATTTTTTTTATAAAAAACTTGTTTTAAATCAAATTTATATAAAATAATAGTTTTTGAGTGTCACCGACTTTTTATTGAGAGACGTTTTTCAAAAGTCAAATATTGATTTAGATGTTAATTATTACACCTAGACATATATATATATATATATTTCTTTCTTTCTTTCTTTCTTTCTTTCTTTCTTTCTTTCTTTCTTTCTTTCTTTCTTTCTTTCTTTCTTTCTTTCTTTCTTTCTTTCTTTCTTTCTTTCTTTCTTTCTTTCTTTCTTTCTTTCTTTCTTTCTTTCTTTCTTTCTTTCTTTCTAAGAGAAGAGAAGAGAAGATATATATATGTATATTCTAACAAGGTAACGACACTTTTGTATAATGTAATAATACCACCTTGCAAATGTAAATGATAATCATTTAGAAAGCGTCTTAATTAATGCTTAGATACTAGTGTTGTTGAACTACCCAATTTTTGTTCAACTACGAGATAGCGAAGCCATGTTTTTATTCAAAAATATGCGAATCAATCTTCAAGTTGAGACAAAACTTGTAGGCTTAATTGGATTTTCTTAGGCTAAAAGTCTGACCACAAGCCACAATAGAGATGGTCAATGTTAGGTAATTTAACAGCACTATTAGATACATCGTGACTGATCTTGTATTCTTATAAGGATAAAAAAAAATTGCGTTATTGATATAATAGAATAAGATAATATTAAATATTATATTTTTATGTAGGAACGCATTTTTGGGACTTTTCTAAACATGGAATTGAATGAGGAACGGAACATAATTTTCATGGCTGGAACAGAACAGAAACGCAAAAATGCTTTTGTTCCGAATCCCCGGTAAAATTGCAGAATATTATTTACGATACATAATTATAAAGGGTTTTTCACATTTATAGTAAAAATGCAGGCATGGTCTGACCAATGACATACAATGATACCTAAACTGACGATGCATTCATAATGCAGCATTCGAAAGCGTCGTTGAATGCAAATCAGCTGGACCCGCCATTTTGGTGACCCGTATACTAATTCTCATGTTAAAAACTACTATTTAAATTGATAAATTGCTTCCTTATTATCTCGATGATATCTGGCAACTCTTTAATAAAGCTCGCGTCAAGACTTAGAAATAAATTGGCCTCTCGTTTAAAATTATGGTTAGCCAAAATGGCCTTCCCAGCTGTTTTTCATTGATGTATAATGTCTAGGTTTTGTTATATGTCTAAGTAGCGATGGCGAATATTAAAAATTAACATATACGAAACGGAATTGAAAAAAAAGCTGATTAAAACTCGACTTTCATTAATAAAATAAAAATTAGACTCACAATAATATCAACTCTGTTAAATTATTTAAGGTCTCAATTAGTTCAGTCCACTTTAGCAATTTGTATAAGGATTCATACCGCGTTCGTGGTCAATAATAAAATTAATGTTAGTCGCCTCTAATCAGTTTGTTCGAAAAATTTGAACCGGGTTTCTAAAGGTTCAACTAAACCAATTATATGATTATTATATTGTATCAAAGCAGCTCTTAAATGACTTTTTTTATTTCATTTTTGATTTGAATCAAAATATTCACTATTTAAATTATGTTTTTTTTGCCATTTCATGGTTACCAACTAACGAGGTCATGGTTCGACTAGTGTAAGTCTTGTTTAAATCCATACATTTATTAGAGTTATTTTTTATAACAAAATCAAGCAGAATTCAGAATATTAAACCAAATTATATCTATTTTAATTAAATATTTTCTTAAAGTTTCTAGCTTATCGCTGCAATGTTCCAAATTGCAAACCAATGTCTATACTTCTAGATATGTGTCAGAAAGAGTTTTACCCCAGCGATGGAGAATTGAAATCAATCAAAGACTTGGAATGGAATAAAAAAATCTCTGATGCCAAAGATGAGACTGAACGGCGATTCCTGGAGAAAGATTACCAAGAATATCTGCGTAAGACTCGGGACCGTTTTCTGAATATTATCAAGTTTATTAGCGAGCTTTACAAACATGCCCTCATCAGTGACAAAATATTAAATGATTGCCTCAACAAACTTTCCAAGGATAAAACAACCTTATCCTATGAAGCTCTGTGCAACCTTATACGGTTTTCGGGTAAAGATTACACTGAAAGAAAAGTGGAGGAGGGGAACATAATAGACGAAATATTTTTTCGCTTGCTAGGAAATGATTTGCTTCCTCCCCAAATCCGTTCTATGATCAATGACCTTGTAGAGCTAAAAAATAATAACTGGGTGCCTCCTAAAGATAAAGAAGTTCTCGAGCGGTTTGAATGTAAAACAAGTGACAAGATAGTAGCCCCTGAAAATGAGGAACCTAAACCTCGATCCATTAACAAGATTCTTACAGTCATTAACCCGCCAGAGGACATCAAAATTGTAAACCACATACCTAGCCTCCAAACGCAATACATATCCACTGAACAATTCAAGCTGACCCCAAAATCTGGATGTAAATCAAATAAGGCACGCAAACCTAGAAAGAAAAAGCCTAATTCTACTCCTGATGGCTCCCTGATTGTCTCCGACGTTAATGCCTCCATCACGGCTTTGCCTACCTCTATGGATGCCAACACCACCCCCCAATCAAACATCTTGCATAGCACCCCGCTGAAGCTGCCATCAAACAGTCTACCAATTGCAGAATCAATGCTGAACACAGCCGTTGGCAATGAAAACAGCCATTCTAAATTTCACACGGGGAATGTTTTCTCAGTATCCGCACCCCGAACTCAAGCTCCTTTATACATCTCCAACTGCATTCCGTTAACCGAAACACTGGAAGAGAAAATTAAGCGCCTCAAGGACATGTTTGCTATCATAGAAAAGGATATTACTGATTCACGATGCCAAGCTTCCCAAAGAGATAGGAGCGAGGTAATGTTCTTAAAGAAGTTGGTATCCAAGATGACAATTGAACATGGTATCGATATAGTAGACATTGTAATAGCAAGAGTCCACATCATGGCCCTAGCCATCCATTTCAATTGGGCAACCGCTCTGGCACATGACACATCTTTTATCACGTGTGACCGTCCGGGCACCAATAGCAAAGTAGTGGTCGATTGGCCTTTTTGCGATACCCGTTACTAGGACTGCATTCTTCTACTTTTTTTTGGCTGATGCCATTCCGATTCGATCCTTGACAATCACAACTAGAACTGATTCTAATCGTCGACATTAGGATCCGTACTATACAGATTTTTTACATTTATTTTTTTAATATTTTATATTGTATTCATTATCATAAGGAAACATAAAATGATCATGCTAAAACAAAATTTATATAAATGTCCTATAGATTAGTCATGCGAATTCACTATATCTACTTTTTGTCAAAAATGGCTTTTTTAATATAAATCAATTTTTTTAGAATTATACTATTCTATCTACACACAAAAAAAAATTCGTAATCTATATAAAATTTAAATTTTATATAATTATAACTCTTTCCCTTTAATATTAATTTGTAATTTAGGTTTTATCGCATTTTTAAAATAAATACCGTATAAATTTAAGAAATGAAACTTTCCCTAACCCTGACCCTTGATATTTTGCATTTTTATAAATTAATCTTGTAGCTATACATAAAATAAATTTGAGAAAAGATGTAAAGAATGAGGTTAACATTACCCTAACCCTAAATTTTTTTCTTATAATTATTCTATTCTATCTACACACACACAAGAAAAAATTAGAGTAGCCAATTATAAGGTTAAATATCCTATTGAAAACAATTCTTCTTTCCCTTTAATATTAATTTGTAATTTAGGTTTTATCGCATTTTTAAAATAAATACCGTATAAATTTAAGAAATGAAACTTTCCCTAACCCTGACCCTTGATATTTTGCATTTTTATAAATTAATCTTGTAGCTATACATAAAATAAATTTGAGAAAAGATATGAAGATTGAGTTAACGTAACCCTAACCCTAAATTTTTTTCTTATAATTATACTATTCTATCTACACACAAAAAAAAATTCGAAATCTATATAAAATATAAAGTTAAATTGTAGCCAATTATAAGGTTAAATATCCTATTGAAAACAAGAGAAACTTAATTTTTTTTTAAATTGCCTCTCCCGAAAAATTTTTTTAAAAAAAGTGGAGATGGAATAATCTAATTCTCGGGCGACGATTTAAGCGATAAAAATCTAAGTTAAGTTACTTCTCTTCTGGGATGTTGTTCAGGATGGCAGAAAGGTTTGGATGTCTATTAATGAAATCTCGAAGCTGGCTTAAATTTTTTTGGAAAAATTATTTGATTAGTCATTTTTTAAAATGCAGTCGTTTAACAACACTAATGATATTAATTTGAAACAGTATATATATATATGCAATAAAAATATATCTTAATTAGGGCTATGCCGATCCACAATTTCTTCACCTATCCAATCCGATATTGATATTGATATAAAACCGGCCCGATAACCGATACCGATCCAAATTGATTTTATTTACCACCTAATCCTTAAATCAATGTCTTAAAAAAAAGAAAAAAATAACTTCACAAATGATTATTTTGTTTTTTTTTATCCTTAAAAATTTATTTATAATATGAGTTATGTTATATGGCTGAATGAAGTGTTGTTAAACGTCTCGATTTTTCCGATTTTTAAAACCACTAAACCAAGATTTTAGCCAAAAAATATTATCTCCTGAAAATTTTGATAATAGATGCCCACGCCGGCTTTGGGCAGAAATCTTCAAGCTTGGATAATCTTACTTTTTGGGTGAAATCTTGAGTTAGCCGTTTTAAAAATTGAAGGAATCTAGCTATTTTAACAACACTAGCTTAAGGTGACTCGTTGGACATTTTTAAATTCATTTTCTTGTTTCAGTTCTATTCCCATTCTAAACTAGGAAGGAAGTGAGAACAAGAATAGGAATTAGAAGTGTTTGGAGTGGACTGGGAAGAATTGAACTAAAATAGTTTGGTAAGACAAAAGATGAGTTGGAAGTAGGAGGATCAAGATATTGAGGAAGGCATAAGATGACGTAAATTAAGAACGATGAACTTTACAAATATTGATGCTCAGGAGAACGTCAAAAATGCAAAAGAAAAATCAGAGGGGATACTGGGTAAATCTGAAAAGCGCCATTAAACGGAGAAGGAGAAAATATAACAAAAAATAAATATCAAGTTTTTAGTTAATCTTTTTTAAAAACTTACATACAAGTTTAGAAAATCCTATTTTTATTCATATGAAAATAAAAGATATTTATTTAAATATTAATCCCAATTTTTTTAAGGAAAAAGAGTTATTTTATAATAAGCTGTTTCCTTTATCAGATTTGAATTTTTTTTAACCAGTTGTTATTTCTCTATAGTATAGTTTAATAATTCGAAATATTATTTATATATTATAGATTAGCGTAAGAAAGGATGTTGCTTACTTCATCATCTGATTCTGAATTAACGTTACCATGACCCATATATAATTAAAACTTTACAGTGATATCCTATATTCTTATCCTCACCAAATATAAAGTGTATCTAAAAAGTATAATATCTATTTCAAAATCTTCAAGGTCTAATTTAATATATTATATTTATTTTCATTTTTTTTAGATGATAATGGCTATTTAAAATATACAGCCCGACCTGGGTATCTTTAAAATTTTTAGGCACGGCCCTGGTGTATTTAAAAAAAAATTAAAATATGGCCTGACCCCTGTACCTGTATCAAAATATATTTTCTTATGAAAAGGATCATTTGAAGATTGGATCCATATCATGAGAAGATGCAAACATATTCAAAACTCTGTGGGTAACAATTCTTCAAGGAGGGCTTTGTGGCTTCCATTGTTAATAAAAAAAAACATTTAAGGAAAGATACATTCCCACAATCTAATAATTATTTGCATTTTATATGATTACTAGCTGATGTCCCACAAGAATGATAAGAAATTATTAGTATTCTCCTTAATTTGAAGATGGATAAATCAGAAATAAGCCTATAGGAAGTGTGAATCAGAAATTTACCTTATTTTGATGAATTTTTATTTCAAAATTATTAATCTATAATATGTTAATGAAGTGTATAAATACTTATTGCATTTAATATGAACAAATATTTGAAACATGTTTGAATTTTAATTGTATTAATTTCCTTATTTTTTGTTAATTATTATTATTATTTATGTACAATATAAAATTTTATCTTGCTGGATTCGGGTTTTGTATATTGTTATCATGGAAACAGATTTTGGATTTATTAAAAAATGAGTCTTTTAAAATTTGTTTCCAAGAAATTGAAAACCAATTATTATTGGAATAGCACCACATGTTCCATCAACAAGATACCATTTAGATGTAAGATAATGGATGAGATAACGAATACCAAGGTAAAATAAAAAAGGATGCGTGCCCTCTGTTGGATCTTTTCGTCAGAATCTATGTTATGACATGTAGGCTGAATAAAGAACTTTTAATGTTTATGTTTCTAGGAATTTTGAATAATCAGGAAATTTGGGATAATAACAATTTATGAAATGTTTACGAAATTTGCTATTGAAAACATTTTTAAAGTATATTTTGATAGTAGCCATGTTAGGATGAGAATTTTGGATATCATACAAATGCTTCTCTCTTAACACCAAATCCCAATTGATACGTATACATAATAAGTTAAGACCCTAGGTTTTGACCCGTGTCAATTATTTTTGCTAATAATCTTCTAAATAGCCCATTGCAATGGGGTGGATACCACCAGAGTGTTTGTGAGATAATCAGGTTTGCCCTCATAATGAATCTATGATGGCAGATCTTTTTTTAAAAGAGTATTTAAGAAGGTATTAAAAGCATTTAAATGATTCTTTGAAATGAGTGTAGATTTTATAGAGGGCAAAAACCATTGCGTTTGGATGTGGAAAATAGAATTGATAAATATCATAACTCACAAATCTATTTTTTTATTCCATATTTTCCATAATATTTTTGGCCTTTTCTAGAAATCTTGGAAGAATGGATCAGGATAATGTCTCATTTGATTATTCTGATCAGAGTTGTTAAAGTATCCAGATATAAAAATGTGATATTTGTATCTAGATAGATTTTTTTTAAAGTATCTGATTTGTATCTATATATTATTTTAGGTATCTGTATCTGTTTTAGATACTTTAAGATACATTTTGATATACTTTTGCTTTTTTATATTATAAATAAAAATAATTGATTGCAAAATTTATTTTATTTCATTATGAGCATATAACTTAAATATATATATATTAAAAAATATTAAGACCACTATAATAAAAAATTATATATTTATATGTAAACACTAATTAAATCGAATTAATCAATAAATCAGACAAATTTTGATATTAATTTTGTTTTTATTATATTGATTTTAAAAATTTTTAGATTAATATTGATGAAGTAGAAGAAATAATAATCAATGAAGCATTCTTCCATGGCTAATTTATAATTCATCCAATCGTCACATAAAGGTAAAATTTATCTCCATAAGAAGAAAATTCTGATTCCCCGTTATTCTTGACGGGTTATCAGCTGGTATTCACTAATAAAGGAATGTACATTAATTGCTTATATTTCCTTTTATCTCACGATAGCATGGTAGACAGTTTAAAATCCTTTAATTATATTTATATTAAAAAATAATTGTAATTACTTTTTAAATTTCGATAATATTAAATCCGCAAGTTGGCGCATTATTATTTTAAATTTATTATTTTTGTTTCAAGATATTTTATATGTCAATATTATTTACTTTTAAAAGGTAAGCTAGATTTTCATATTATTATCAATCAATCAAAAATATCGAACAAATTACCATATCAATGATCACATTTTAATGGTTAAAGAGTTAGATAGATTAATTTTTTAAAATTAATTTTTGCCTACTCGCTATCAATATTTTTTTCTAAATAGCACTTTCTTTTTTAATTGACATTACCATTTATATAGATTAAATTACAATATTACCATACAATAATATCACTCTAATAAATAACATGTCACTCAAAAAATTTTTATCGGAAATATTAATTTGTAATAAAAGATAATATTATACCTATAACATAAAAACGTATAGAGATTACCCATTAGGGGGAAAAATATAATGTTCACACTGTAATTTATTTTACGTAAATTAATTGTTTTATTTAATTTTGTCATATTGGATATTTAGTAGGATATGTTTATAGTTGTTTAGCACAAAAGGATAAGACAACCCTTACTACCAATATATTGAAATTTTTTTGAGAATATTCTTTAAGATAAGGGATATTGCGGTAATATTATAAATGGCGTTATATTTTATTTGTAAATGATATGTTGTG